GCAAACCGTGCCGAAAAACGTGTGAGGAAGCAACAATTCCTGCGCACTGGTGTCGACAACGTGACACATTTTCTCGCTTGATTTGAGCTGAGGGCAGTATTTCTTAATGTGCCCCGGTTTTTTACATAAATAGCACGTGCGTTCCTGCGGCTTGTCGAATTCCGCGTTCCTATCTGCCTTGGGCGCTGCGGGCTTAGAAGTGGAGGGCACGCTCTCCGTCACCTTTTTCCACTTTTGTTCCCCCACAGGCTCCTTGTGATTAACCTTAGAAAAATCTTTCCTATACGCACTAGACCTATTGTTTTCGTAGGTGTCCAGCCTACGCGCCAGATCTTGGGACTGCGAAACCTCGCCCCAAACATCTACGAAATGGGCACGTATGTCCGCCGGCACCTTCCGTTTCATCTGATCGGTGACAATCAAATCTAATAATTGATCATAAGTTTCAACTTTCAACCCTGAAATCCATTTCTGGCAATAGTTCGTCAGTTCGCGAGCATAAACATTCCATGTAGTTTTCGCACCCTTTGCATGACTGCAAAACATCTGACGACATTTTTCAGGCGTGAATTTGTACATATCCAAAAGCTGCGTTTTGATTTGATTATAATCCTGCTCTGAAGAATCTGATCCTACAACTAACCATGTATTTATTTCATTGGGAAGCAATCCCATTAATTGACTGACCCATTCTACCGGCGCAATGTCGAGCTGACGAGCATGCGCCTCAAATACACTTAAAAACAAGGTAATATCCTCACCTTCGCCTTTGAATTTATCCATAACATGGCTGATACGGATACTACTTCTGTTTCCCGAATCTCTACTACCTAAAGATTCGCGCGAGGTAGCCTGATTAGCTAATTTCAGCCGTTCGAGTTCGTACTGCCGTTGTTCGAGTTCGTACTGCCGTTCTTGCTCTTTTTCCTGCCTTTCTCGCTCTTTTTCCTGCCGTTCTCGCTCTTTTTCCTCGAGTTCGCGTAATCTTTCCTGCTCTTTTAATTCAAGTTCGCGTGCTTCTGCGACCTGTTCTTTCTCCTGATCAGCAAGTTGTTTCACGAATATTTCATCGTACTGCTCGCTTCCCGTGATGATAGATTTTAATCTAACTATCGTCTCGTTCCCTTCCAACGTTTCCCCCATCTCCGTCGCGACCCTAACAAGCACCTCTTTCCTATAACCCGCTAAGAAAGACATTTTGCCTGAATTGATCCCCGGCCAGTACAAAAAACACACTTACGTTCAGTTGACCTCGGTGTCGCGTGAGCGCCAGCGCCTTCTGGATCCGGTGTTCTGGCCTCCTTCCTTCCTCTCGTTCTGGTCCGTCCGGGATGTCTCCTTCCAGTGCCAGTACCAATACCAGCTCCAGTTCCAGTACCAGTTCCAGCTCCAGTTCCAGTACCAATACCAATTCCAGTTCCAAGTTTTAGAAAAGAAAGGTTCCGAGTCGGATTGTACCGCCCCGAAACTACCGTACCGAATTACCGCACTTTCGGTTTCTCGTGGCGTGCACGACTCTGCCGGCGCCACGTAATTACGACGCGTGTGCACCTTTAACTGCGGTACACTGTCTTTACGCGTACTATTCCAGTTTTAGACAAAAAACTGTGGCACTCCGGCGTGAGTTTACAATAACCGCTGCTACCAGTTTTAGACAAAAACTGCGGCACTCCGGCGTGAGTTTACAATAACCGCTGCTACCAGTTTTAG